CTCCGTCTCCAAAAAAAAAAAAAAAAAAAAAGAGTATGTTATTTAATTCACTTGGCTTTATTCTTACATGGTTATTTCTGTTTGAGTATTGTTTGGAGAGTTTATTGAAAAACGTTTTTGTTTTATTTACAGAGTTCACATGACTTACCTATCAGTTTAAAACAAATCAGGTTAATTACTGAATGTGCTGGTGGTAAATTTTATTCTTCCAAAATATGTTTTGTTGAAGATGTTGAAATGTTTGAGGACAACTATATGCTATCACATTGCTAGTTTGTTAATGTATATTTTATTAGTTGCCTCTAAATTATTCTAAATTTTGAGGACTCTGAAAGGATTCATATCTTAAGAGATTTTCAAAGGTGGTGTGTAGTTGGACACAGACTAAAATAAATGTTTCATTTATAGCATATTTGCATATACCTACCCATTATGTAGATCTTAACATTTGAAAGATCCTGGGAATTGAAATGTCCAGTATGCATGCTATTACTGTAGATTGAGAAGTGAAATGTGGTAAAAGATAGCATCAGAGTTTTAAAAAGTGTAGTTTCAAAAGTTTGTGATGGTTTCTGTTACTTCTTGGTTCATTTCTGAGAGTCAGGGAAGAAAGAAAGGGAATGGTTGCCATTTTATTCGTACTTTCATTTCAAACACTTTTAGTGTGATCTGTAATGTGGATCTCACTTCATTTTTTTTATAACCCATTTTTTTAATAACCCATAGCAGTTATATACGTCATTACATTTTCTTTTCTGTCGCAAACATCTTGAATGTGTGTATTTACAAATGTTTTGTATCTCCCAGGCACTCTGTAAATACTGACTGAATGACTGTTCACAGACACATGAAGACTTCAAAGAGTTGTGTTTTCATGGTTGTAGTGTTTTTGTGGAGCTACAGATAGGGGAATAAATGCTGTCTGTCTCTTTCTCTGAAATAAGAAGTTCAATTTAATTAATTAGCTAATGATGCAAAACTAAACTTTTAAATCAGGAAGACAGAGTAGAAACAGAGTATCCTATTTTATTATGGTTTTCCTTCATGTCTGGAGTGTGCAGTAGCTAGGACCACCTTATGACAAGGTTGGAGTCTTGCTAGATATGTAAGATTCAATTCTTTGCTATTCCTTTGCCTCTTTATATTCTAGACTTACATTACCAGTAGTGATGAACTTACTTTAAATAATTTAGCTCTTTAATAATAAACGTTTACATTTCTCCAGGACCTTTCTGCTCTCCAGTTAAACTCAGTTTCATGTGGGAAAGTAGAGGGAAGGAAGTATTAGTAGGCTTAAAGATTGGTAGTCTCTTAGTAGTGAGGCTTTCTAATTTGGACTTTGGTTTAAGAACCACAACAGAAAATCTGTTTCTCCACAGTTTTAAGATTCCATGGGGGAAAATCTTATTCAGAAGTGGTTTTTAACATTTGGATTTCATCCAGGAATGGAAATGTATTAGATTCTTTTATTTGCAACAACAGAACTCTGGCTAATTAAAACATAACTAAGACATACTACCTGTCAACTTGGGGTGTGTATTATAGTCCATTTGTGTTGCTATAAAGGAATACCTGATACTGGTAATTTTAAAGGAAACAGGCTTATTTTGGCTCACCATTCTTCAGGCTGCATAGGAAACATGGTGCTGGCATCTGTTTCTGGTGAGGGCCTCAGGAAGCTTAGAATCATGGGAGAAGGTGAAGGGGAGCGAACATGTTACATAAGGCAAAAGAAAGCGGGAAGTGCCAGCCTCTTTTAAACAGCCAGATCTCCTCTCCTGTGAACGCAGAGAGTGGAAACTCATTACCACAGGGACAGCACCAAGCTATTAATGAGGGCTCCACTCCTGTGACCTCTCATTAGGTCCATCTTCAATATGGGAGGTCACATTTCAACATGAAATTTGGAGGGGACAAAACATCCAAACCATTGCAGGCTGCTGTAACAAAATACCATAAACTGGGCAGCTTAAACAGCATTTATTTCTCACAGCTGGGGAGGTTGGGAAGTCCAAGATCCATGTGCCAGCAGATCCAGTTCTTGATGAGGATCTTCTTCCTGGATTGTAGACAATCACTTTCTCACTGTTTCCTCATGTGGCCTAGAAAAAGTGAGAGAGTGAGCTCTCCTTTCTTTGTTTTAAGGACACCAATCCCATCATGGGGAGCCCCACCTGTATGACTTTATGTAAACCTGATTATCAGGCAGAGGCCTACCAAATACTACCATTGAGGTCAGAGCTTCAGAATGAATTTTAGGGAGGACACAAACATTCACTCCACAAAACTTCTCTTACTCCATTTTTTAATTCTTGTTATTTTACCTCCATCTGAAGGGGATAAAAACTAGAAATTCTTTCTTTAGTCCTCAGTAATGTTAAGTTTACCTTTCTAGGGTAATTAGGGTAATTATTTGACAAAATACACAGAAAGTTTTATCTGCAGACATATGTACAGGCAATAATTTTTTACTTTTAGGTCTTCAGTCCATCTAGGGTTTTTTTTTTTCTTTCAGTGTTTAGTATAAAAGAGGGGTCTGTATTTTTCAAGTATTTTGCTCATGCTCTTTCGGCATTTCTTGACTAATATATTTCCCCACTCAAAATATTAGCTTTGTTATATACCACGTCCTATTATATATAGGTCTGTTTGTGTACTTTCAATTATTTTATGTTACTAATACCAAATTTTTATTATTTTTACTTTAATATTTTCCCTCTTCAGTAGTCTGTTAGTGTTTTAAAATATTTTTGGCAGTTATTTCTACCCTGTTTTTTAAAAAATTTTTATCAGGGTTTTCACTATAATTGTATTGCATTTGTGTATTAATATGGGGAGAATTGACATGTAAATAAGTTTTCCTACCTAGGAATATGGCATAGCTGCTATTTTTTCAAGTCAGGTTTATAAGTTTTTTACAGTTTTATTCATGAGTGTTTTAAATATTAATGTTTACAAATTAAACCCTTTTCTGCAATAAATGTGTAAAGATGTCACCCTTCATAACATACTGATTATATAGTTCATATATATTTTGCATATGTTTATAAACAACCACATTATTGGTTCTAGTAGCCTTTCATTTCATTTCATCTTCTTGGATTTTTCAGGTAATAGATTTTTCAAATAATAATTCTTTCTGTTCCTTCCTAATATTTATCGTTTCCTTTTTCTTATTACACTGGATTGAATTTCCAGTCTCAGTTGAACAATGGTAATGATAGTGCACCATCTTGTCTTGATCTTTTTTTAATAGCCATGCCTCTTTCTCTTTAGTGCTGATAATGGCCACTGATTTGAAAAGAATCTACTTCAGAGTCCTTTTCTTAGTTAGATTTTCTTTTTAAATCAGATAGTAAATGTTTTATTAAATACCTTTGTAATATCAAATAAGAGAGTCGTGTGAGCTTTTAATGTGATGAGTAGTCTAAAAATGTCCTTTTGTTCTTAGAATAGTCCTACTCGGCTGTGTAGTTTTCTTAAATACTGAGCTATTATTTCATAATAAATGACATTTTTTATTAATATTCATGAGACAACTTTTTTATTTGTTTGTAAAATACCAAGCTTGTGATAGGTTGCTAAAATACATTAGAATACTTTCACATTTCATGTATCTTGGATTAATTTTAAAAGCTTAGTAATTATCTGTACTCTAGCATTATAGAACATGATAGTAAATTTTCAGGGCCTGATACTTTTTTGAAGCAATGGTTAAAAAACTGAAACTTTTAAATTTGTAGCTGTTAAGTGTAGTCAGTGTCAATGTCAGTCCCTTTTTGTAATATCCTCAGTCATCTCTTAGGTGATAAAATTTGCCTTCTAATTTACTTTTTTGTTTTTGTTTTTTCCTCTAAAAAAGATTCATGGAAATAATATTGCATGAAGTTTTTTTTTTTTTTAAACATTTGGATGTGTTTGAACATGTTTAAATGCATTTTTCTTGATTATCTAGTGGTACCCTTCTGCATTTCAGTATTCATTTAAAAATATTAATTAGATGTAACTTTTAAACGTATTGTTTATACAATTTCCATTTTTGAGTGCTTATTTTGGTTTACTTCTTGGTTTGTGTATTTGTTCTTTTATTTTGTTAGGGCACATATGTGAGTGGTAGACCTCCAAGGACTTGTTATACATATTCTAATATACTTGTCAATGAGCAGCATCTTGCTTGACTATAGTAGTCATGAATGTTAGTTTTATTTCCCTCAAAACATTATAAGTTTTGCTCTATTGCTTTTGGGAAGGAAATACGTATTATATGGAAGAAGTTTGATGTCATTTTAACTTTTGCTTGTGAAATTTTTTTTCTTAACCCTGAAATGGAAAAAACAAAATTATTTTACATTTATATAAACATTTCTTCATTAATATTTTCTGGCAATTGATCTGTCTTTAATGACTTTTCGGTAGAGATACTTGATATAGGGATCCTCCAAAAAAGATACTTCAGTCTTTTATTTGGTTTGGGAGATCCTACATGCATAAGTTATCTATTGCCGTGTAAAAAATTTACCCAAAAACATAGTGGCTTTAAAACAATATCCATGTATTATCTGTCAGTTTCTGTGTGCCAGGAATCGAGGCATGACGTAACTGAATCTTCTACCTGAGTCTCTCTCTCAAGGCTGCAGTCAAAGTGTCAGCCAGCGCTGGGAACTCATGTGAAGGCTTAACTGGGGAAGGATCATGCTTCGAAGTCAACTTGGTCCTCATCTAGTGCTTTTTTTCACGCAACACATATTGGCATATTGTTAGTTTATTTGATAGTCACATTTGAATCTCATATCAAGCCCAGAAAACACCTGGTTCATTTCTTTTTGTTGTAAGTTTTGTGTGTGGTGCATGTGAGTGCATGTGTGTGTGTGTGCACGTGTGTGTGTGTGTGTGTGTGTGTGTGCAGCTAGAGATAGTTACAGAGGGGGTCAGGAAGGGAGGAGAGTGTTGACAGCTTTTTTCTATTTTAAGAATTGTAATAGTTTTTTTTCCCGCCATAGGTGCCTTAGCTGGACCAATTATTGTGGAGCCACATGTCACAGCAGTATGGGGAAAGAATGTTTCACTAAAGTGTTTAATTGAAGTAAATGAAACCATAACGCAGATTTCATGGGAGAAGATACATGGCAAAAGTTCACAGACTGTTGCAGTTCACCATCCCCAATATGGATTCTCTGTTCAAGGAGAATATCAGGGAAGAGTCTTGTTTAAAAATTACTCACTTAATGATGCAACAATTACCCTGCATAACATAGGATTCTCTGATTCTGGAAAATACATCTGCAAAGCTGTTACATTCCCGCTTGGAAATGCCCAGTCCTCTACAACCGTAACTGTGTTAGGTAGGTATGCTTGAATTATGTATTTTGGTGATACTGGTGAAGATTATAATAAAAATATTTTAAAGAAATTAAAATGGTTGAAATTTGATTTAACTTTAAAGTAAAATAATTCAAATATGATTTTTCAAGATCCTTAAAATTTATGATTCTAGGTTTCCTTTAAATAAAATCTTGTCTGTATATACCTACTTATCTATGTAATGCTGCATAGTTTTAGCTAGTGTCTATGAAAGATAGTGATGAGTTTTAATTATAATCTAAGTTCTGAGTTTCTGTAACATCTTTATTTTCATTATCTCCCCTCAAATTTTCAGCCTTTAATTAAATTACCATCTTAAGTTTTTTCATTTTTAAAAAATTGAGTTTTGCATCTAGGAGCCATTGAAACCTCATGTTTTAATTTTTCATATCAAATTTTATTCCTGCTATTTTAGGTTTTCATAACTATCTGAATATTGTGCCTTCACTCATAATAGTGATATTCCACTATTTCCTATGATACCTGTTAAAGTTTATGGTAAAATGTTGAAAAAGCTCATTAACCTTAAGCTACTTGCAGTGAAATGTAAACCAATTTGGAAATGCTGATAAGTACTTTTGAAATGATAGAAATGAAAATTGAGGAGCAATAGCAACTGGTAGCTGCTCACATGAAGATCTGCTGCTTAGATTCTTATTCAGACAGCTACTAGTAGTGTGGGTAGCTGACAGCTTCCAGCTGTTAGGTCCTTTAAGATTACTTCAGTTTTCAGGGCTATTCTTTTTGTGAGTGACCTCAGACCAGTGAGTGAGTGAGGCAGTGGTAGCCAAGGGTAAGCGCTTCTTGGGGCTAGTGATTGAACAAGATAGTAGTGTGAAGATTTTTACCCAAAGTGGGACTCCTTTAATGGAATATGCCCATTGGCCTGAATGGAGACTTTGTCAGGGTACTGGTAGCTCCATTTACTCAATTGAATCTTCCTTCTCTCTTTTCTCCCAGTTGTCACTCCCTGATAAACCTTTTATACTTCTCACATCACAGTGTCTGCTTCCCGGAGAACCAAACAAGTTAATAGCTCCAATGTTTAAGGACATAATATTAGTGTCTCCGAAATACAGGACAGCAATTTTGTCCAAATTTATTATATATTTTTTCATGTTGAGAGATATTTTAATATAAAATTAGATATTTGAGGCTTAATATATTTAAGACACTGCCCTAAGAGCTGTGGGGACATATAACTTACATTTAAGAGATTTATATTTTTGAGAAATTTTCTGATTGGAAGGCAAGGCATGAATATCCGAAAACTCACGTGCAGGACGTCAGTAAAAAAGGTAACATAAAGTACTGTATGGCTCACTCCTGTAATCCCAGTACTTTGGGAGGCAGAGGCAGGTGAATCACCTGAGGTCAGGAGTACAAGACCAGCCTGGCCAACATGGCAAAACCCCATCTCTACTAAAAATACAAAAATTAGCCAGGCATGGTAGTGCATGCCTGTAATCCCAGCTAGTCGGATGGCTGGGTCTTGAGAATCACCTGTACCCGGGAGGCAGAAGTTGCAGTGAGCCAAGATTACAACACTGCACTCCAGCCTGGGCAACAGAATGAGACTCTCTCAAAAAGAAAAAAGAAAAAAAAGGACCTTGCATGTGAAAAGAGCAAGCTCATGGGGATAAAATCACTTTTCATTTTGCTTTAAATTGTAGTAGTTCCCTCTAAATTAATACAGTACTTACTGGCTTAAAATCCAGGCTGTTTGTTACAAGATTAGTCATTATTTTGCCCACACCTACTTCTCTTGCTTCATTTGTTCTACTCCTTGCTGCTGTTTTTTCAAAAACCCAAGTCTTATCATCATCATAAACTATTTGCAGTTCTTTTGACCTACGTTTTTATGGGTGTTTCTCTTTCTGCCTGGATTGCCTTTTTTTCTGGCCTTTCTTTCTTCCATGTAACTATTATTCATCAAATCACATCCTTTTAGTAGCCATTCTTGACCCCTTTCTCCAAATCTGATGCTTTTTTGGCTGTCGTTGTTATGTTGAACATATCTTTATTGTAGCAGTTACCACACTATTACAAATGTTTTCTGCACTATAAACAAGTGTTGGAGAGTAACTGTGCATTTACAAATTTAATTTTATGTCCCTAAAAGCAATAAGAGTTTCCAGTATATAGCAGTCATACAGTGTTATTTGAGTAGGATATAGGAATGGATTAGTGAACTTGGTAGTCAAGAAGTATTTCTTAGGAGAGGTAGTTGAGTCAGTCAGTGGTGAGTAGGTTTTGGGTAGGCAAAAATGAAAGAATATGAAAATGGTATTCTAGGATTGTGATAGTATGTGAACCAAGGCAGGGAAAACAAAACAATATGCAGTTCACCCTTGAACATCATGGGTTAGAGCTGTGTGGGTCCCTTTATACATGGATGTTTTTTCAACTAACTGCAAGTAGAAAATAGAGTATTTGTGGGATGTGAAACCTGCATATATGAAGGGCCGACTTTCTGTACATGGGTTTCGTAGGGCTAACTGCAGGACTTAAGTATGCATGGATTTGTTTATACTCAGGGATGCTGGAACCGACCCTCACCCCACTGCAGAATACTAAGGGACCAGTATACATTAAGGGAAATTTTTCTTAACCCCAGTGTTGTTGAAATTTGGGGCCAGAATTCTTTGTTGTAGTGAGCTGTACATTCGTTGTAGACAGCATCTGTGGCCTCTAAACACTATGCCAGTAAATACCAATAGCATTCCTCGTTGTTAAACTCATAATGTCTCCAGACACTCCCAAGTGTCTTCAAGAGGGGAGCAGGAGTTAGTGGGGAATCACCCCCTGTTGAGAGCCCTGTGTTAGTGGAACACTGAATAAGTAATTTATTCGTTGTTCAAAGGATTTACATAGAGTATAAGAATTAAATTTTAGAATTATAGAGTAGGACCACGTTAAAGTAACTTGAATGCTAGAACAGGGAATTTGAGCTCTATATTATTGGAAATTCATACTTTGTATTCAATAGTTGTGCTGCCTCTCACTTGTCTTCTATTCTCAGACCCTTGCTATTTAAAATGTAGTTCATGGACCAGCAGCATTGGCATCACTTGAGAACTTGTTAAAAATATAGAATTTCAGATCCGTCTTAGGCTTATTGAATGATAGTCTGCATTTTAGCAAGATTCCCCAGTGACTTATATACACAGTGAAGTTTGAGAAACACTGCTTTGATCACATCACGTAGAGGAATGCCTAACTCACGACTGACCTGATTTAGAGAGCAATGTGATGACAGTTGTGATTAGGAAGATGGGTCTGGTGTTTTTGATCAATTGAAATGAAGAGGTCCTTAAATCATAATGTCTCAGCTATGAGGCCATGAAGACTTGCAATTAATTTTGTAATTTCTGCCACATGAATGAAGAAAAGAACTGTTACAGAGGAATAATTAGCAGAATTTTGTATCTGATTGGATATAAGAAGTAAGGAAAGTTTGAACAGTAATAAATTTTGAAAGTTTGTGATTAAATTATGTTACCGCTAGTTAAATGGGCACATATGAATGAAAAACAGGTGCTGGTGATTGGGAGGATAAAATGATTTTGGTGTTAGGTTTGAGTTTGAGGAGCTATAGGTGGAAATAACCAGGTGTAGGTAGTTAGAAGCTGAGGCGTCAAGCCTTGTATTAAAATTGAGGAAAGTTCAGAATCATCTGGGTAGTAGTCTTTATCAGATAAAAGTTTTTAAGTGAGATACAAAAGTAATTGCAGGCCCAGGACTGATTATTTATTTAAAGGAAGAGGTTAGAAAAAATAAGAGTTCTCAGAGAGAGTTATGAGAAGAACTCAGGCAGAGTAATATCATATGAAGAAAAGATAGGAAAGTTTTTAAGGAAATGTTACTCTAGCAACCATTTCCACAGTAAGAAGTAAGCCCTACAGAAAATGTTTTGACTATTTTTTAGTTTCTCCTAAGGACAGCACGTAGCTAGTATCATTCTGAATGCATAACTTAGGAATTAGTTCATTACTTACAACAAATACTTTAACACATTAGGATTTAATTTTCAACTGATTGGGAAGAGCTGTGCTGAAGTATCAAATTTGACAAAGTTAAAGAGACTAGACATAAAAGTGTTGAGTTTTAGATTAGGGGTCTTTGATGACATTAGAGTTTCAATGGAGGTAGTAGCAGAACCAAATTTAAGGAATGTAGTATTTGCACCACGTATGATCACAAATGACTGTTTTCCCAGATCTATGTAGAACTTTTACTCACCAGTAAGAAAAAAATAGACAGCTGACTATAATAGTCATTTTGCAGAAGAAAAGATTCCAAATGACTCATAAACATATGAAAAGATCTTCAACCTCATTCATAATCTGAGATATTAAACATAAAATCTCAGTGGCATACCATTACATACCTATCAGATTGCAAACATTGAGAAGTCTGTGACAATATCAGCTGGGTGACAGTATCAACTGGTGAGTATGTGGACCAGCAGGAGCGCTAAGACTGGGAGGAGATTGGTACTTTGGAAAGGTTTTTGAAATTATCTGGTCAAGTTGAAAATAAGTAGTAGCAATTCTGAGGATATACTTGTGCACAAATATGCTAAGATACATGAATGGAAATGTTTCTTGTAAAATTGTTCAGATGAAACAGGAACTCCATTGTCCATTAATAAACTATAAAGCAATTAAAACTAATAATATATACAATTGTATATAAATCCAAATGATCTAAAAATAAAAAAGTAAAAAAATGAATTCCAAAACAATAAGCTAAAGCTAAATGTTCCAATATGAATGAATCTCCAGAACACGAAGTTGAGTCAAAGAAAAAGTACAAAAATACATGTGGTCTAATTCCATTCTTAAAAAGTTCAGAAACAGGCTAAACTGTGTTGTTTAGATTTGCATGAGTTGGTTGTAGAACTATAATGAAAAATAAACAGTTGATCTCCAAAGTCAATATAATAGTTTCACATTGAGGCAGGCAGGTTTTTAAGATGTAGTAGAGGAATATGAGGGACTTATGAGGTTCCAGTAATAATGTTTGTTAAGATGTGTGGTGGTTATGTGGATGTTTGCTATAAAATTGTTCATTGCATGTGTTGCATGTACTTTTTCATTTGTTATTTTACAATAATGCATCTTATGAAAGGAACTACATAAGGAAAATAATCATATCCATGAGAGTAAAATGTGAAGTAAAAATAGCTTTCAAAGTAAAATGTGAAACAAAATTTGGTTCTTTCAGTACCATCAAGAACAGATGGTATTGAAAGAACCAACTTGAAATCCTGGAAATGAAAAAAAAAATCATTGAAATAAAAACTCAATGCACACAATAAACTAAAGACTGGACACAAAATTTATGAAGTCAGTACTGAGGAATTTACACAGAAGCACATAACAATTGCTGGAAAATGTGAAAAGATAAGAGATATTGGGGGTCGAGTAGATTGAGAGGTTCTAACATTGTTACTTTACCCTGCTGAGGAACTTTCTTGTATTGGAAGAAGATAGGTGGTATGTCCATTCCAATAAACTTAACTATTAGTGATGGTACATGTTAGGATGACCTTGAAGTGTATGTTGTAAATAAAAGTAATTGAACACATTCAGCAACCCTAGTTGGTTCTTTTGGATATATGAGGAGTTAAAGGTTGAAAGTTCAAAAGGCAGTGTTTTAAATGAAATTATTGAGTCACTTATTGGGCCAAGAAAAACATTTCATCTCCAAAGCGTATGTTCAGAGGAACTTTTTTTTTTCATAACATTTTAACAGTAAGTCAAAATCATAACTTATTTTTAAAAGTGTTTGCTTTAAAATTTTTTTGCTGCAAAATGAAGCTATATATATATATATATTTTATATATGTATAAAACTTATCTTGCAGAGAAATAATACCTTTAATCTCATAAAGGGAATTGTGATCTAGTTCACAGAAATTTTTTGTATATATTAAGTTGGAAAGAATTCATCGTTCCCTAAAGGAATATATATCTTTATCAGGTAGAGCCATCTTTGTAGTGGTGGTATGAATTCTTGGTCTCATTTGTCCTGGCTTATGATCTTTAGTTTTTCCAAGAATGTGATTGACGATGGCATTACCTAAAAAATGTGTGTAGATTTTATATGCATTTGTCCTTAAGCTTGTGAAATATGTTTAGATGTGACTTGCAAAGATATAAACATATTCTTGTTTGAATGTAACTCATTTTTAAAAAAATATTTAAACAGTTGAACCCACTGTGAGCCTGATAAAAGGGCCAGATTCTTTAATTGATGGAGGAAATGAAACAGTAGCAGCCATTTGTATCGCAGCCACTGGAAAACCCGTTGCACATATTGACTGGGAAGGTGATCTTGGTGAAATGGAATCCACTACAACTTCTTTTCCAAATGAAACGGCAACGATTATCAGCCAGTACAAGCTATTTCCAACCAGATTCGCTAGAGGAAGGCGAATTACTTGCGTTGTAAAACATCCAGCCTTGGAAAAGGACATCCGATACTCTTTCATATTAGACATACAGTGTAAGTAAATGTAACATTTGCTTTTTTAATATTTGTCAGCATGTTTATCAAACTATTTTTAGTTTGAATATTTAATAGCTTGTCCTTGTTTATTTTTGTTTTTCTTTTAATTTTGTTTATGTTTTCATGGAAATTTCATTTAACCAAAACATTTTTAATCACTTTTGTAAAGATGAACAGATGACTTTAAAGTTGCTCTCCAACTTAAAATTATAATGTAACCATTTCCTTTTAAGATCTTAAAATTAGGCTCAACTTAGGGAGTTATGGCAACTTGTACCTCAAAATGTACAATGCTGAAGGACAAACAATTTCTGCATTCTAATTAACTGAGCTGTTACTCAGTTTCACTGATGCCCCCCATCTATTTTCTTGTTGTTGTTTTTGAGATGGAGTCTTGCTCTGCCGACAGGCTGGAGTGCAGTGGCATGATCTCTGCTCACTGCAACTTCTGCCTCCCGGGTTAAGTGATTCTCCTGCCTCAGCCTCCCAAGTAGCTGGGATTACAACCGTGCACCACCATGCCCAGCTAATTTTTGTATTTTTAGTACAGATGGGGTTTCACCATGTTGGCCAGGGTGGTCTCCATCTCCTGACCTTGTGATCCTCCCGCCTCGGTCTCCCAGAGTGCTGGGATTACAGGCGTGAGCCACCACACCTGGCCTTGTTTTCTTTGATTTCCCTATATGCATATTAATTAGTTTGAAAATCTGTATTTTTCAATATTATTTCTAATCTTGTCTCATTGATCATGTTATAAGAATTTTCTTAGGTTAAAAAACAATATTTTAAATACATCATTGGATAATAACCATTGTAGATACAGGTTCAAAGCTGAGCCACTTGTTACTTGTGTATTTTTGTTAAGGTATACTTTCCTGTGTATGTGTTTATATATTCTTTTGTATCTACTTTTCCCTTTGAATAAAGTTTCTTAGTTTTTAATACATTCTTTGTGATTTGTATACAATTTAAAAATTTCAAGTAGTAGAAAAGGTGATGGCTGTAGATAGTTTATAGCAAAGATAATGAAAATTAGGCAGATTAGAGACAACATTAGGAAAAGTATTTAGGTTCTGCTTTTACTTCTATCCATGTACAAATTATAAATTTAGGTGTTTTTGAGGAAATTCTATTTTTTGTTGTTGCTACTTACTTGCTTTTTGATATGACATGCATGGAGTTTTAAGTTACACATATTCATTACACTTGGTGTAATGGTTTTTAAAGCTAATTCCCAGGATCTTTTTCAGCCTTTATAGGGTTAACTTGAAAAGCTATCGTTCAAAAACTGTTACTGCCATTGCATTCTTAAATGCTAATACCTTCTTTTCCTAATTCTCTGGAGAATTCTGTTAAAATTTTTCTTTTTCCTTTTCCTACCTTGCTTTTACAGAGTCTTAACTTTTTTCCTTGTCTCATAAAATTCACATCCCAATTGGAAGTTAATGTATTTTGCATATGCATATGTTTACCTTTCCAGTGTCTAATAATGACTGATGTTTTCAATTTGTAGTTTTTTGTTTGCTTGAATGAAATCTTAGATATATAAAATATTTCTTCTAATGTATAATATGGTTTTGCTTTATTGGCTTACTCCTAAAATGTTCTTAGAATAGTCATGACATTTTTCCTTTTGTAAATTGGAGACCTATAGGACATGTAAACAAACTTAAATATTGTCTTATATGACAAATTTATGCCTCAATATTTAGAGGTATCCTTTTGGGATACTTTAATGCCTAAACTCACAGATATCTGGACTGTTCTTTCAGCAACATTTTTTAGTACCACTTTTAAGTTACAAAATATTTGTTAATCTTTGCTGTTTCTTTTTTTAAATTTCTAAGATAATTGTACCTTATTAAAAGTTCAATTTTTTACAACTCTTCTGTAAACTTAAACTCACAGATATCTGGACTGTTCTTTCAGCAACATTTTTTAGTACCACTTTTAAGTTACAAAATATTTGTTAATCTTTGCTGTTTCTTTTTTTAAATTTCTAAGATAATTGTACCTTATTAAAAGTTCAATTTTTTACAACTCTTCTGTAAACTTTGCTTTCCAGTAGAACATTCTTCCCTGGCAGAGGTAAATACTGATCTGGTCTCTCTCTAGCTTCTCATCAGATCATATGCTGCTAACTTAGTTTTCTATGTAGCTCACAGAAAGCTAGAGAGTCTCTGCATCATACATAATTTAACACTTCCTTGGGGAAGCCTTTTATCACCTCCAACCCCATCCCCAACCTAAATTAGGCCTTTCTTTTTATATTCTCTCTTAGCATCCTATTCTTTTTCTTCCTGGCCCTCATAAGGAGTTTTAGTTAAGTATTTTTAAATGTCATCTTCCCTATTACTATTAGAATATAAATTGTATGTATATAAAGTCTGTGTGTATACCAAATACCTAAAACAGTGTAGTGCAGTGGTGCGAACTTGGCTCACTGCAAGCTCTGCCTCCCAGGTTCACACCATTCTCCTGCCTCAGCCTCCCGAGTAGCTGGGACTACAGGCACCCACCATCACGCCCAGCTAATTTGTTTTTTTTTTTTGTATTTTTCAGTAGAGACAGGGTTTCACTGTGTTAGCCAGGATGGTCTCCATCTCTTGACCTCATGATTTGCCCGCCTTGGCCTCCCAAAATGCTGGGATTACAGGCGTGAGCCACCGTGCCCGGCCAAAACAGTGTATTATTTCTAAGTGCCATGCCTAGCACTCATTAGGAGCCAAACAGAATGATGGTTGAATGAATGATAGGTTTGGACTTAATAGTTTGGAAGTATATATTTATATTGCTGGTAGATATGGATAATTGCTCATTCAACTAGTTATGTTGCACATATGCTAAAAGACTTTTGGGTACGTGAAATGGATAAAAGTTTATGTTTTAGTACATTTGAGGCCCTAGCTAATTTACTTCAGTTGTAAGTATGTAGTCATAGAAAGCCTGTGTCACATCTCTACATGACCCCAATATATTAATTAATTGTAACATAGGGAATCTAATCTCTGCAATTGACCTAATATCTCTTAGAAGATATTTCCTTTTAGATTAAATATCTCTTTAAAGACTGTTTTATATGGTGACTTGGTACTACATGGTACTTAAATGCCATGTCTTATTTAATTAAATACTATAACATATTTGCTTTGTTCCTGTATCTCTACGTCTTGCTTAATAGGATTCTTTCATTTTGCTTTTGGTGATTATAGGTTTATGAATATTCCTTAACATTTAGCATTTCTAATTACTCAAACTGTATGTGGTATAATTGCCATTTTGGGGGGTACTCATTCTTCATTTTATTCGTTCAGCCAATATTTACGGAGTAGTGTCTTCCATATTGATTATACATGTTGAGACTAAGGAAAAATGATTCCTGTTCTTTTAAGGCTTTGTTGTGTTAATATTTTATCATATGTATTGCATTTATCATTAACAAAAGATAATCTGTCCTGTCATGCATTCATTTTATAGATGCTCCTGAAGTTTCGGTAACAGGGTATGATGGAAATTGGTTTGTAGGAAGAAAAGGTGTTAATCTCAAATGTAATGCTGATGCAAATCCACCACCCTTCAAATCTGTGTGGAGCAGGTAATGTTATATACTTTGAAAGAGAAATTATCTAAAAGTGAAACCTTCTTAAATCCCCATTAAAAGTTGTTTTTATCTATATAATACACAATTATAGTAATAGCAGAAAATGAAAATTTTAATTAAATTTTCTGTCTTATCCTGCCCTACCTGTCCCCACCTTCCTACCCCCTCAGTTCTGATCTTTTGAGGCTACTTAAGCAATTTTAGCAGTTTCTTGTGGTTAGTTGCAGTCAGAGGTCTTAGGCTGCTACTACTTAATAGTTTTTAATATTGTCTGTTGACTTCTTAGATAAATAATTATAATTTTATGTCTACTTCTTCATTTACAAACACACCCATATACACACATTCCTACCTTTCATAGTCCGAATGAAATTTTAGCGATTTTTAGTTAAACTCAGTAATCACTGTTTGCTTCTCTAGGGCAGGTAAATGTTACAAAAAGCTAAGACATATACCAGCCTTCTGTTTTCTCTTGTCTATAGCCATTTGTTTTCCCATTGGCTAATATTGCCTCTTTTTACTTGTGTAGTTACTATGTGCATAATTTTCTTTCTCTGAAATTTCAAACTGTTATAACAAGGTTTTTATTCATATTTTGTCAGTATTTAGGGCCCATTTTGATCTCCAGATGTATCTATCAACTTGAATAATTTTCTTATTTTTTGGTCGTTTCCCTCTTTCTTATTCCTGTTCGTTCTTTTTGGAACTCCTATTTATTGTATAATAAATATCCTTTCTTTTATATTTTCAGATGGTCTTATTCTTCCTAGAAGTTTTTCTTGATTTTTAAAAAAATTTTCCATTGACTTAATGATATAAAAAAAATTTTTGGCCTGTTTTCAGTTTTTAAGAGCATCTTCTCATGAGATGGAGCATCTTCTCATTGAATATTCTTTGGAGAATGAGAAGATGCTCTTATAAACTGAAAATACGCCAACTATAAAAATACATTGTTTTCATAGCACCCTTTTCTTATTTTATGAGTGTAGTGTCTTTCTTGTTTCTTCCCAGGGATACTGGTGTTACTTCTTCCCCAGAGAGTTTTTTCTGCTTTCTACATACTGTCTCTTTTCCCTCCAAGTTCTTTTGTTTTTTTTTGGTTTGGTCTTTCATTATGTAGATATTTCTTAATCTTGTTGGTTGTTTAGTCTTTCACAGTGAAGCATTAAAATAAAATGCTTAGTGGATGCTCTCTCTCTAGTGGGGATTGCTCATTAGAGTCCACTTAGAGTGATCAGGTAGAGATGTGATTATTTTCCTGGGGAGACTCCAGATATCACTAATAGAAGAGTGGAAGTCTTTATTTTGTGACCATTCAGTTTATTTCTAGAATTAACCTCCATTTTTTTGCCCAAGAGATAAATGTCTGATATTTGTACAGAGTCAGGAGGAATCTGTTGTTTTGTGGTGTATCTTTTAACTTGCTCTTGGCCTCCTTCTAGTTTTCTGAGATACACTGAGTTGAACTCCAAAATTTTTGTTTGATTATTTGGACCAAATTGGCTGCTTTCTCATCCATGTGCTTTTCATAGGCAACCCTTCACCCTAAAGTACAACTTTTCAACTTTGGCACTATTGATATTTTAGGCCGAAATTATTTTTTGTAGTGGGCAGTCCTGTGAATTGTAGGATGTTTTGAAGCATCCCTGGGTTGAGAAACACTGACCTAAGGCATATATTGTTTTTTAAATCTATTTTCTGTCTTTGGAAAGTTTGTTGAAACATCTTGTCTGTTGAATTCTGCCTCCTGTTTTCTCCTCTAAGGTTTTTAATAACTTTTTAATTTCTGTTCTCTTTCTGGTGGGATTTTATGGGAGTTAGGAAGCACTATATGTGGTCAATCAGTTGTCTCTAAGCATAGATACTATTTTAAAGGTAGAGAAAAATTTTCATTTACATTTTAAAAAAATGGGAAGCAATCATTAGTTAAGATTTTTATTTGATAGAATATTTCTAAAAGCCGTACAATTGTGGATTCTCATCCCAGTGTCTTAACTTCTATATGTCTTTTTTGAGTAAGTCATTTAACCCCTCTAACCCTAAATTTCCTTGCCAATAACTACTTCGTAGAGTTTTTGTGAGCTACAGACAATGAATATAAGTCATGTAACCTAGACACAAGGGCATAGAATATGCTTTTGTTGTAGGTTTAATGTGATATTTAGATATTTCTCACTCTAAGTCATTTTACAATTTCTCAGAGAATTAAAGGGATTAAAACTTCGAGCCCAAAGTACAAAGGTAATTGTTAAGACATATATAATTTATTTTCATTGTTATTCTTGTAGAAAGAATTTACCTTTTGAAAGCCAATACTTGCAAAAATTTTCTTTCCAAAGCCTTCTAAAGGAAAAGGTTGGGTGCTTTTATTTTTGTTTCTTAAGCCATGTAAGCATATTATCTTTATCCTTCAGTGCTGAATTAAAGTACTATCAACTCTAAAAGATTTTACAGATTATTTTACCACTCACTGCACTCGAGATTGCAAAACAAAATTATTCTATCTATTCTTTGGTGTTGATTTGCTTCTTTCCACATTTTTATTATTGTTCTTATTCCCTGTGTAATAATTTATCAATCTTCTATGTACTTACATAATTGAAAATAGAGACTATGTTTTATTTACTTCTATATCTCAGCACCACCAGCAAAGCAGAGTATGGCAAATAGTGGGCTCCTAGTAATTGAATGAAGGAATAAGTGAATAAACTTTTTGAAAATCTACTTAGCCTAAACTGTAGTAGTTGAGACCTAGGTTTACTTGACTTTTTAATCTTCTTTTTTTTTTTTTTTGAGACAGAGTCTCACTCTGTCACCCAGGCTAGAGTGCAGTGGTGCCATCTTGCCTCACTGCAACCTCTCCTTCCTGGGTTCAAGTGATTCTCCTACCTCAGCATCCCAAGTAGCTGGGATTACAGGCACCCACCACCATATCGAACTAATTTTTGTATTTTTTTAGAGACAAGGTTTCACCATGGTGGCCAGGCTGGTCTCGAACTCCTGACCTCAAGTGATGTGCTTGCCTCAGCCTCCCAAAGTGCTGAGATTACAGGTGTGAGCCACTGTGCCCGGCCTTATCCTCTTACTTTAATAAAAAACAAAAACAACAACAACAAAAAAAACACCTTAAGCTTTAAAAACACTTATTTGTTATTTTTTTTATTTTTTTATTTTTTGGTATCCTCTGGTTAGAAAAGTGATTTTTAGCAGTGTGCTTAGTTCCATTAACAGTGAATGGCTTTAGAGTTCTCATAGTGGGACTCTACATGATTTAGAGCACTATGTATACTAGGTATAGGACCTCTTAGCCAAACTAGTGTAAATACTGTTTAAAAGACTTATTATTGATACCACATGGTGTCTTGGTTTTTATTGTCACAGATGCCCACCTTACACATGAAATTATTTTATAAGAAGACCCATTTTGCTGCTTTAGAAACTATCTTTGGATGGAGCACAGTGTCTGTTTGCATTAGCATTAAATGATGCTCTATAAATGTGTTATAGAGGGTGCTAAAACATTATGTATTTAAGTTGGATGACTTTGCATGAAGAAAATTGTAGATATGTCATGAATAGATCTCTGATTCAATGAGAATTTTAATTTACTTGATACTGTATGTATGTCTTCAAATAGTATGTTTTTCTAACTTCCAGTTTTCTGAATAAAACTTTTTTAATTGTATTTTTTCTCTGCTTTTCTGCTGTTTTATTATGTTGGCAGTGCCACTCTTACATGGACTGCTATTTTGGAAGAATGGGTGTTCTTAATGGCCTTTATTAGTTCATCTTTATTAAAATGAAAATTTGTTACTTTTTTTATACTTTCATACTGAATTTTGTCTAAAAGATGCTTTTTTATTTTGACTAGTATCTCAAACATATAATGTCTCATTTTAACTAGCTGTCAATAAATATAGTCTGAAGATATTTAAAATAATTTTATGCATTTTAAAATCTAGGTTGGATGGACAATGGCCTGATGGTTTATTGGCTTCAGACAATACTCTTCATTTTGTCCATCCATTGACTTTCAACTATTCTGGTGTTTATATCTGTAAAGTGACCAATTCCCTTGGTCAAAGAAGTGACCAAAAAGTCATCTACATTTCAGGTAAGTTACTATCTGCTTACAAAATGGGTTATTTAAAATATTTCTGAATAATCATAATAACAATATGCTGCAATTATTTATACTTGTAAAGATAACAGTTCCTCAGAGTGGCGTTTTTCCAAATAATCTAAAAGGAATATGATAAAATAACCCTATCCTGAGATAGGTATGTAATGTGACATCCCTTATTAAAATGTCAGTGTCTATGCAACAAGTTTATATACATTTTGATGCCTGTACATATAGTTAATTTTTCAGTTCAACAGTACTATTTCTCTAATACATAGTATGACTTTCTAGATTATTTTATCTTTAAGAACAAATAGTGATTTTTTTTTCTTTTGCTTTGATGGCCACTTTGTACACAGTTGTTTAATAAAATGGAATATTAAATTTGATGACTTGGCTTGTGAAATAACATTGTTTCCCACTTAATATGGGACTATACCATATTGTATTACCAAGAGGTGAAACAGGAATGCTACTTAAAATGTGTTAATGAAATAAAATGTATGATGTTTTTTATTGTCCTTCAACCACTGATAGCTTAGATTTTTCACATTCTGTTTGTGTCACTGTGAATATTTGTTAATTTGGCTGAGTATAAATTTTGGCATTCATAAAATAGCTAAAAATACATCTTTTCCTTGTTGTGGCTGCAAGTAATAAATTATCAATTGAATGCTTATTTATAAAAATTCAATAAAATATTTTGAGCATCTCCTTACTGATTACAAGAATGTAGCCATCTTCCTGTCTAACAAATGGAAAATTAAGAGGGAAAAGGAAGAGAACCTAAGAAACACAGGTTTGTGTGGTAATTATGGAATAAATAGTTAAGGGTTTTACCTTTGTTCAAATCTAAAACTAGATAAATTAGAGGTTTTGGCGAAATTTTGTGCTTCCTTAAGTGTTATATTCTCCGTCCTTGTGTGATCAGTCTAAGAACAGTACCATGTATTAATGTGTTATTGTCTTACAGCACTCACCACAGTTTTTAGTTGTTTGCTCATTTCCTTGCTTATTATTTATCTTCACAATTCAGTAGTTTGTGCTTGCTTTATTCATGACTGTATACTCAGCAGTGAGCATTGTGCCTGGCACATTATAGAGGTGCAAACTTTTTTTTTTTGGCGTGACTCTAGCAAGAAGCTTAGAACTGTATACATCCCTAGCCCTTTCTGCCGTTATCAGTGCTTTGGTGGAAATCTGTATTTTTTTTTTTTTTTTGAGACATGGTCTCGCTCTGTCGCCCAGACTGGAGTGAGTGCAGTGGTGTGATCTCAGCTCACTGCAACCTCTGCCTCCCAGGCTCAAGCAGTCCTTCACCTCAGCCTCTAGTAGCTGAGACTACAGGTCTCAGCTGGGCACCACTATGCCCAGCTAATTTTTGTATTTTTTGTAGAGACGGGGGTGGTCTCTCTATGTTGTCCAGGCTGGTCTTGAACTTCTGAGCTCAAGTGATCTGCCCACCTCTACCTCCTAAAGTGCTGGGATTACAAGCGTGAGCTACTATGCCTAGCTGGAAATCTGAATGAGGCTACATATTAGTATATTACTCTCTCTCTCTTTAATTAGAGAATAAGCCAGGGAAATGCATAGTTAAAATATACTTAAGGACTGTTTATTTTGTGTGTCTGTTGTACAGTTTGGTGTGGGTTATTACTTGTAAACCTTAGACTCAATATGTCTATGTAATCATTTAAATATCAAGGCTTGGCTGGGCGTGTTGGCTCACACCTATAATTCCAGCACTTTGGGAGGCTGAGGCAGGCAGATCACCTGAGGTCAGGAGCTTGAGATCAGCCTGGCCACCACGGTGAAAACCTGTTTCTACTGAAAATACAAAAATTAGCCAGCAAGGTGGTATGCGCCTGTGATCCCAGCTACTCAGGAGTCTAAGGCAGGAGAATCGCTTGAACCTGGGAGGCAGAGGTTGCACTGAGCCCAGATCGTACCATGCATGACAGAGCGAAACTGTCTCCAAAAAAAAAAAAATTTAAAATAAATTAATAAATATCCAGACTCATTTTGGATGCTTTTGTATGTACTGATTTAATTAATGGTATCCTAGATTTATACTCTTTTATCATTCTGAGTTCAGTGTTAAGTACTCTTGACTTGTGTGTCCAGTTGCCTATTAATGATCATTAACTCTATGTAGTAGTTTAATAGGTATTTACAACTTAACATATTCAAAACAGAGGTCCTGATGTTTCTGTTGCTCCTTGATACCAAACATATTTCTGTACCCATCTTCCTTCTTTCAGTTACTGGTACTTCTTTCCTCACATTTGTTCAGGATACAACCCTTGATAGTTATTCTTGATTTTGCTTTTTCTCTCACACCCTAGTTAGTTCATTAACAAATCAATACCAGCTCTTCCATTATGTTAAATGCAGAATCTTACCAGTTCTTCAACTCTTCTACTACTGCTACTACACACTAGTCTAAGCCATAAGCCACTCTTACTTCACTATTACAATAACCATTTAATCTCCCTACTTTGCCTCTGTCCCCCTTCAGTTTCTCAGCAAATGAACAGCTAGGGTGGTTCTTTTAAAGGACATGTCAGCTCTTGTCACTCCTCTCCTCAAAACCTTCCATGGGCTTCCCATTTTACCCACAATGAAAACCAAATCCTTACAGTTGGACTTACAAGACTCCATACAAGCCCTCCTTCCAGATGATCTCTCTAACTTCATTTCTTACATGTTTTGCTCATTGGATGAGTCACTACTGGACTCCTTGCTGTTCTTCGAACATAGCAGGCACATTCCTACCTCAGAGTCTTTTACAGTAACTGTTTTCACTGCCTGGAATGCTTTTACCAGGGATCATCTGAGTTCTTTACCTCATTTCTTAAGGCCTTCACCTTCACCTTTTTCAGCGAGGTCTTTCTTCATGATTATATTTGAAATAAAATACCCTCCCTTCTCACCCCTTTACTACTATTGGTCCCCTTCTTTTTCTTTTTAGCACGTATTGCCATGTAAATTTTATTGTTTTTTATATGCTTCTCTGTTTTTACCCTCAGAACATAAGTCTAAACATAAAGCCTGCTTTAATTACTGCCATATTTCCATTATCTACAATGATGTTTAGCATATGATAGGTGTTCAATAAAGTTTTGTTGCATGAATGAATAAATTTGAGAATAAAACAATCAGGAATCAGTTTACAAATCCAGAGTCTGCTTTTATGTAACTTAAAAAGGGAACTCAAATTTTGAGTAAATATGAACAAAATCACAGTTTCAGCACTTTCGAAGAAGTGGCATTATATGACATAATTTTGGGGGGGTTTTTTTTTGGAGATGGAGGCTTGCTCTGTTGCCCAGGCTGGAGTACCGTGGCGCTATCTTGGCTCACTGCCACCTCTGCCTCCCGGATTCAAGCGGTTCTCCTGCCTCAGCCTCCCAAGTAGCTGGAACTACAGGCACATGCTGCCATGCTTGACTAATTTTTTGTATTTTGGTAGAGATGGGGTTTCACTGTGTTGCCCAGGCTGGTCTTGAACTCCTGAGCTCAGGTAATCCACCGGCCTCAGGCTCCCATTGTGCTAGGATTACAGATGTGAGCCACCGTGCCCAGCAGAGAATTTTTTATTTTATTTATTTATTATTTTTTTTGAGACGGAATCTCACTGTGTCGCCCAGACTGGAGTGCAGTGTCGCGATCTCGGCTCACAGCAAGCTCTCCCTCCCAGGTTCACGCCATTCTCCTGCCTCAGCCTCCCGAGTAGCTGGGACCACAGGCGCCCACCACCACACCCGGCTAATTTTTTGTATTTTTAGTAGAGACGGGGTTTCACCGTGTTAGCCAGGATGGTTTCAATCTCCTGACCTCATGATCCACCTGCCTTGGCCTCCCAAAGTGCTGGGATTACAGGCATAAGCCACCGTGCCCAGCCGAGAATTTTTTTTTTTTAGTAATCAATAGTTAGACTTTACTTTTCTATCCAGAGTCTGTAATACAGCATACTATGCTGAGATTAGTTAACTCATCTAACAACTGCTTGAAGTATGTCAGGTGCCCTAGGTATAATGCTGCCTTTCCAGAATGACTATTTAGTAAAACTTAGTGGGCTTTTACAAGAGTAAGAAGCCACAATTCACAAAATAAATGACCAATTAATCCTTTTCATTGTTGCATGTACTCATTGTCCTCTAGGAAAAAAATTTTACCTCAGTATTAAAATAGATATTTAAAAATTTGAGAAATTATTTTTAATATATGTTAAATAAATGCATCTTAGGACTAGAGATGAAAGTTCTGCTCAGAACAGAATAAGCAACTCTGAGGGAAATTGTTCTTAATTTTGTTACACATTTTCCCATATTGATAAATGTAAGATTTTTGGATAAGAGGTTTTTGATTTAGGATTGCAATATTCAACCTCAGTTATTAAATTGTACTCTATTATATAATAGTAATACTCTCAAGGGGTATAGTAGCTCTTTGACTAGTACTTACTGACTACTGGAAATTGTGTTTTTCTGGTTTGCTTTTGATGTATATTTTTCCCTTAACACCTGTTACTTCTCTTTAAATTTAGAAAAGCAAATTTTGATATGTCAAATAAGTGCCACTATGTCTAAAACTCTTATTCCTGTGTAAAACTTGAATTTCAGGTCATATTGATGTTAGGATCCAAGTGTAGTGTCAGACTTAAGAATTTGCTTACTTAGCAGTCCTTAAACTTTAAAATGCATTTATTTCATATATTTAAATAACCCATATGATAGTCTAAAAGAAAAATAAGCCAATTAATTTTTATGACACTGAAAATATACCTTAGAAGACTGAAATATGCCTTTTATGGGGCATTACATGACTTGTTTTATGGTTTGGCAGAATTCATTAGAAAAGGAAACTTAAAGTTCTTCATTTGGGTGAGAAGAACTATGAAAGTCATTATGTCCATTATATACTCATTTATCACACAGTCAGCAAAGAGTATGAAAAATAATATCTAACTGAAAAATGAGGAGTGCTTT